GAGCTGCTGTCACAGGTTTGAGATTGACAGTAGACACAATGTACTTAAGAATTAATTGCTCCCATACAGGGGTTTACTCAGTGTCAGGAACATCTAGGCAAGCAGCATATAAAGATTTATTTTTATTTACTTATTAAATTTTTATGCCGTCCATCTCCCCTACAAGGGGACTCAGGGCAGCATACAAGTAATGAAGATGGTAAGTATGTTTCTCCCTTTCCCCCCCTCCCCATCAGCCGTGTTTAATGTAGAACTGATATCAAAATTTATTTAACAGAAAGACATTCTGCAAAATTCTCATGAGCGCAGGATGAGGTTCTTCCAGTTATGAAATGAAAAGGTGACCAAAGTAGATCTGTGAGTAACTTGCTTTCATTGTTCAAACGTCCCTCTAGTGGTCTGCAGCCTCTTTCACTTCCTCAATGACAATTCAGTCCTGAAGCAAGATAACATGAGAAAGTTCCTTCATGGTTTTTTTCAGTCTACCATGTACAACAGAGACCTAAGGAGATTTAGTCTGCTAGGAAATATTTAACAACAACTAAAAAGAAAAAAAACCCCACCATACAAGCAACTTTATCTTTTGTTATCTCCAAAATAACATTAACTGCAGAGATCTCCCCAAGGGAAATTCAAAAAGAATTCTCAAGAATCCAGAGTATACAGCAGAAATACAGAAAGCCCTTTCGCAGGGGGGAAAAATGATTGAGAAAGTGGCAGGTAAACACTGACACAGCATTAACTAAAAGGAGAGGAGGGAAACTACAGAAACTTCCGTTTCATGGGATTTGTGGGTAGAATAATGCGTAGAGCTAGAAGGCAGATTGGTTACTGAGTTTTTATTAGCTTTTTAAATTATTAGTGGTTACAGTTTATGATTCAATTTTTTTTCGCTTGCCTGCCTTATGACTGGACAGTTTCCCACATCAGTAATCTTGCTGGGCTGTGAAGCCCAAGGCAGAAAGCACTCGAAGATGTTTAAGGAAACATATTATTTATACTAAATATTGAGAGGCTGATGAATTGCATGAGTGCATAAATGGGGACACACACACACACACACACACACACACACACATATTCATAAGCAAAAAATAAAACATTATGGCTGCAGGCCAGAGTAAATAAGATAAAGGCTTCAGAGGAGTCTGAATAATAAAGAGAATTTTCTTTGGTCAAAGGGTAGATTTCCAGAAATGTAATCAAGAAGCATGCAATCTTCACTTAATAAAAGCGATGGTGTATTTCTTTGCTTATGTGGTAAATTTGTTATAGCTGTACAGAGTCATGCCAGCATGTTAAACAGTTTGTGTAAAGGGAGGCTAGGGTTTTGGAAATAAAATATGATAGGCAAGCAGCTTTTGAAGCAGATGCACATGTAAACTAATTGGCTTTAATCTCATTTACTTCCACGACTGGCATATTTCATCATTGTAATTAAGAAGTCTGAGGCAGCTGTATATTTTGAAAACAGCACCTCCAGCTGCCTTGTACAATGCAGGGCCTTTTGACAGAATTCCATACATCACTCCAGGGGTCAATGGCAACGGTGGCAAGACTTTCCATAGAAGCAAACCAGGATCCTTTTGTTTCAAGATGTTTTTGTGAAACATACCTGGATTGAATATAAAATAAGTACACGGGCTGGTCTCTAGATAGTATTGAACTACAACTTCCAGAGGCCTTCCTGACATTTACAAGGCCTTTGAGCATTCGGATTCTGCCTTCCTCAAAGGCAGAAGCTCCCTCTGCTGTGATATATTTCAACAGAGGGTCTTATTTATTGATGCAATGAAAATTAGTGCTCAATTACAAGCAAATAACTAAATCCTCTGGATGTAAATTTTAACAGCAACAAGTCTCCTGTTTCTGCCTGTTCTTCTCAAAGGATGTGAATTATCATTTTGTTCTCTTATCCTTTGCTTATTGTCATGTTACCATTCTGTATTTATGTACAAATGTTTTGGACTAGTGTGAGAAAAGCTGGAATTGGAAGAGGTGTAAATTACAAGCACCAAAGGAAGGATGAGAGAGCCAGGGTAGTATTTGGATTAAAAAAAAATTGGAGAAAAACTGAGGAGATTTAGATTCAAGTTTACACTCAACCAGTGCCAGTCAGTCTCTTTCAGCTCCACTTATTTTATGGGCATGCCGCCATGGGGAAAAAATTGCAGGAGGAAGTATGGAATATGAGCATGACTGTTAATAGCGTACCACAGAACTTGTGGAAATCTCGTGAAATTTAAGATATTTTTTTTCTTATTCTTTTACTGGAGAATTGCACTCTGCATTTTCCACGTGCATATCATCAACCTGGCATCTTTAAAGGTAAAGTGCTTTGCAATTGAGCAGGGAGTGGCTGGATTACTGTCTTTATAGCCAAGTATCCTGACTTCTGATTGGCCTTTTAGGTGAGCTGCTTCCTGATTGATATAGTTTGCATCAACCCAAATCAGCCCTCACCAACCTACACCAATCAGAAACTAGGCTAAAGGCAGGGGTGGGATTCAAATTTTTAACAACTGGTTCTGTGGGCATGGCTTAGGTGGTGGGCGTGGCTTGGTTGTCATGTGACTGGGTGGACATGGCTTGGTGGTCATGTTATTGGCTGGGCGTGGCCAACTCAATAACACTCACATCGAGGCACGCATCTCCTCGCCTGGCCTCTCGTGACTGTGGGGATGCTGCAACAGTCATAAGTGAAAAATGGTCATAAGTCACTTTTTTCAGTGCCATTGTAACTTTGAATGGTCACTCCACACAAGCAAAGTACCAGCAAAGGAGGGGGAAAAAACTCCAGAGAAGTTCATGAGACAGGAAGTCTAGTCCTGCCAAGAATGTAATAAGGGTTAACGGAGAGGCAGTTTCTGTAAGCAACACCAGAATGTTTTCTTCCTGCCTTCCTTACAGGATTAGGCCAGTAATTTCTTCTAACAACCGGTTTTCCGAACTGCTTAGAATGTTAACAACAATGTTAGCGAATAGGTGCAAACTGGTAGAATCCCACCCCTGGCTAAAGGCCACAGTTGCAACTGAAAAGACAGGAAATCTGTTATCTAGAGCACAGTATGTAAAACCCGAAGCACAACGGTGCCCAGCAGTCCAGAGAAGATTATATTTCTAATAAAACACACACAAATTAAGATGAAATCTAAAATAAGAATTTCTTATGTAATTACTTGTTGATAGATTTTCCTTCATGCTCTTCAATGGATTCTGACAATACAAGTAATCTTTGACTTACAGCAGTTCATTTACTGACCGCTCAAAGTTACAATGACATTGAAAAATGGGACGTATGACCGTTTTTCACCGTTACGACCTTTGTAGCAGCCCTGTGATCAAAATTCAGATGCTTGGCAACTGCCTCGTATTTATGACCATTGCTGTGTTCCAGGATCATGTGATCACCTTTTGCAAATTTCTGTCAAGCAAAGTAAATGAGGAGCCCAGATTCACTTAACAACCGGGTTACTAACTTTATCAAATGCAGTGATTCACTTCACAACCGTGGCAAGAAAAATCATAAAATGGGGCAAAACTCACTTAACAAATGCCTCACTTAACAACATAAATTGCGGGCTCAATAGTGATTGTTAAGTTGAGGACTATCTGTATTTCAATTTGTAACATGCAAATATCTGTTTCATTCAATACCTATTTCATTGTAGATATTGCTGTGGTTATTATTTTAGTATCTCATAATAACAGCGAATACTTCAACAAATGCTGATGCATAAAGTGAAACAAATGAATATGCTCGTTTGGACAAACTGCACAACCATAAATAAATCTCTCAATTTTGGCATGCTGATATATTTAATAATACAGCATTTTTAACATTTTTTTGCCCACACGCTATGAAAATGTAGAGAAGCCTTACCCAGCAAAGGATTTGTTTGTATTGCTTTTTCTCATATAATCAATCTTTTAAAAGGCAAAATTTGGAAAGGTGTGCAGTGATTCATGAAGAACTATCTTGCGTGGATGTACTGTCACTGCTAGAATGGAATTGTTGTACTCCAATGAACACCCCCATTATGGAGGAGCTTCATCCTGTCTCCTTCTGTTTGGTTCCCCCCCTTCCCCCCGATTCTCATTCCAGTCAAATCGATGGGTACAACTCTAACACTGTTAACAGACTATTCCTCCCAGTGGAGATACTGCATGCTGATGAAAAGAGGCAATGCACGACAAAAACCTAAAAACCAAATAAGAATAGGCTGACTAAAGGGTCAAAAACAGTGCTAATTATTAAAAACAAATGTGACAACAACAGAAACAGAGTGTGACAACATGCCAAAATAGGGGTGGGGTGGGGTAACAATATGATGATGAGATGTTGAGAAACGTTTTCCAGCTTTGGAGCGGGAAAACATCTGTTAATGTAACTCCAGTTGATGATATTTATGCAATTGACAATTGCTGATTTCCACACCGCTCAAAATTTTAAACTGCTTTCTTTCTGGAGCGGAGCTATCCAACCTAATGAAATAATATTTCTAAGTCAAGCATGGCAGGAAGCCATACTGTTATTCTTTAAGCGAGTGGTTTACTAAAGTATCAAAGTAATTAGAGACTAATTAGCCGGATTTGACATCTAGAGGAAGAGAAGTGAGATATAGTTTACTTTATATTTAGCTTATATTATATATCTATACCGTGGTCCTCTCTTGAGTTAAAAACAATGAAGTAGAAACATTTTTCATTAATGTCTGCCCATCTAAAAACTAACTTCTGTTCAGCTGTGGCACTACAGATATTCATTAACTGATGTTATGAATGAATTGGTCTTCCAGAGTTATCCCGTTAAAGGCCAACAATATAGTAAATGTGGTCACACAATTAATATTCTGTTTTCTTGTCCCATGTGATGGGATGGATTATATAACACTAAAGTTTGCTACAGCGAGTGTCACATTATCTGGCTGCCAAAGGAGGCATTACAAATGACTCCCTTTCAAGGTGTGATGTTTTACATACATTCAATGCTTTTTTACCTGAGTGGTTGCACCGAGAGGGATCTACAACTCTGCCGGTCTTATCATAGCAGGCAAGTGCTCGGAAGCGCACCCCTTCTCCACATTCTTTGCCATGTCTCTGAAATCTCATCTCCAACTGCAGCTCTGTTCTTCCTACCACAATGATGCATTCCGACCAATTTCCATAAGGCTGGGAGGTAAATATTACACAAGGGCAGAGTTCCGTCTCAAGCTGAGGATAGACTTCGGTATTCTGGCACTTCTCTCGCTTTTTGCTTCTTCCTGTTCCAACCAGGAAAATATGCTTGTTAGCGTAACATCTGCTGCTTTTGATAACAATATGTCATATTATTTATACTTGAAGGGTTTTAATACAGTTAGAACCAAACCATCTGAAATGTAAATACGGCAGCAGAGTTGGTTCAAAGACATCTGTTAGTTCCTGCCAGAGCTCTGGAGAGCTAAGACGATGGAGATATCTCCAGGGCAACCGGGAAACCTAAAGAAACTTGGAGAGAATCTTTTGGATGAAGCACAAAACAATAACAAGGAGAACAACTATCTGATTGCTTTTGTTACAAAAGAAAAAGAAAACAAAAGCCTGTTCTTCCCCTCTGAAATTATCTGAAGAAAATAATTTTATTGTACCATTCTCCATTTGCCGCCTACAGATAGTTGGGGAATCCTACAAATGTAGAAGAGTAAGTTGCCTCTCTTTCTTTGAATCTTTTGTATAAATTTTGTATAAATTGACTGAACACAATTTCCACATACAAATAGTAGGACCATCTTTCGAAATTACTTGGCATTTAAGTAATTAGAAAGAACTTCAATTTTCCAAGACTTTTTCTAACACAGACGGTCAGGCAAACATCCCAAAGATACTACGGCGTATACTTAACCTATTACTCTTCATTATTTATTACATTAGCTCAGATATTGTGATGTATTTACAGAAATCTGGGCCAACCAGGATATCAGCAGTTTGGGACGACACAATGAATTTAAGATCTATGCCAGAAACCACAAGGTTCCATTTACTAGAACAGAAGTTCTGAAACATCCATTTGTGATGCCAAAATATTTTATTTAAAATGATTTAAAAATACAAATTAAAATAATACAGAGCTCATGAGACAATCCAGTCTCTTATGAAGTTTGTTTTCTCGCATGAAATCACATGAGACTTTAGTCATTATAAGTATTAAAATTTGATCCATAAGATCAAATGAATTCCTGTAATAGGGTTTACTACTTGAAAAAGTTGCTAAGCTCTGATTAAATATCAGAATGATAACAGTGTTCCAATATCTAAGGGGCTGCACGAAGAAGAGGGGGTCAACCTATTCTCCAATGCAACTGAAGACAGAATAAGAAGCAATGGATGTAAACTAATCAAAGAGAGATTCAACCCAGAAATATGGAGAAATTTGTGATATTTAGAACAATTAATCAGTGGAATGGCTTGCCTCCAGATATTGTGGGTGCTTCAACCCTGAAGGTCTTTAAGAAGAGATTGGACAACGATTTGCCTGAAATGGGATAGGGTTTCCTGCTTGAGCAAGGGGTTGGACTAGAAGACCTCCATGGTCCCTTCCAACGCTATTATTCTTGTTATTCTGAAAGAGCAGACTTATTTGTATGGTATCCTCTAAATGTTGCCAACAGACGTAGGCAACATGTTCTAGTATCTGGGAATCATATTTTTTCCTATTATTTTTGGCAACTAGGAGTTACAGATGGCACATCGATAATGTAATGATGTTATTCAGAGGGATGGAGTGAATATTTTAATTTTTGGCTTGTTTGGGACAAAGTGTATTTTCCTGCTGGTTTTTATGCATACTGTCATAGGAGGAAATTGTACCATTTGTATGTTCTGGTACCAAATATTGACAGTGTGGTTGTGGGAGCCATAGAATGATCAATTTTTGCTTGACAACAATGAGTTCCACCCATTGACCATAATAATTCAAAAGACTATTGAAAAGCTAGTTTTTAAACAAGCTGTGGTAATGTACGAAACTCTGGCAAGTTGTCACAAGAGTAATTTATTTGTGGTTACAATTATTTCTATTAACATATAAGAGAATCCCAAGGCCTAGAAGTGGTTGTTGTATCATATTGTTCTCTAGGTTAGGGAACTAAACAAGGGAACTGTATGTCTGTTATAAAAAATAACTATTGCTATTGGTTTTTGGTTTAGATGTTAAGTTCTAAAAATTCCTGGATGTCAACATTGCTTTACCTTGATAAATATTTTTAGGTAATGTGTGGAATTTGAAAATCAAGTGAAACAGGAAACAGAATTACATTTTCCTCATGCAGATGACCCATCAACCTTTTATTTTTCACATTTTTTAATTATTCCCCCATCCCCCCACTCCAGAAGACGTGATAACCTAGCAACTTCTAGTTTCTCCAGCAAACAGCCTATAGAGAAGTTTGATTGAACCAATGGGGAAATATCATAAGTCAATATAAAAATTTTCAAAAATTGTAGGAAAATTAAGTTTTTGCTAAAGATCACAGAGTTCCTGACTCACAATCACATACTTTTCTAAGAAGGAAGCCTTCCTGAGCCAGGTTGTTGACATGTTAATCTCTTCTGGTGTGTTACATGCTGTTGGGCAGCATTTTTTAAAAGTCTGAGATGGTATCCATGTTCTTAGTATTTCCCATGTAACACGTTATAAAATAAAAGAGTAGCTTGTATTATATATATATATTTTAAAGAAGTATCCCTACCCATACAAGCAATAAATCCATTTGCTCAGTACAGGACAAGCAAGCCAAACAAACCAAATGTAGGAGAATAAAAACTGAAATATTATTTTTATGAACTTTTTAAAGCAACTTTTTGGAGAAAAGTTTGGAAAATGAAAGGACAATGAAAACTATAAAAAGAGTTAGAAAACTTCAGATAGATTTGATACATGTTTAATGGGAACTATTCTACAGGTTAGATAAGCTGACTATCAGTTAAGGGAGAATAGGACAAACAAGTATGAATTTATGAAAAGGTTATATAAGAAAAAAGAGAATCAGATAAAAAAAGAGCAGCAAAGTCTCCCTGTCTCTTTGTCATCAAGTAGATCCCCTTAAATGGGTTCTAGCAGACAGAAAAGCAGAATTCCTGAAAGCAGGCTCAGATTCCATCACTTCTATGAATCACCTCTGAATCTCTGAAGCAATTCAAAGATTTTCAGTACTATAAAAGGGGGTGCCTTGAACTGCCCTAGATATTTGAACGTTCAATTTGCAGGGGGTATTTCAGCTGAGCTTCCTTCGAACTGAATCACTCTTTGAAACATCAGAGAACATGCCTGTAAGGAACCCTATGAAGAGCTTGCCTGAGCTATAAACAGCTTCCCTCAGTGCCCAAGACTGTCTTTTACAAAACTTGCCAATCTTTTCCCACTCAATTTGTTTGTTTGCTCACTTAGTGCCACACAAACCAGTAATTTTTCCTACAGAACTTTCCCACTTGGAGATTCCCACAGAATTGCCTACTTCCCATTTTTGTCAATTAATGTGTTAATATTTTAGAGCCATTTTCTAAAATTCTTTTTTTTTTCTCAAGAATCTGCAGCTTTAAATACTGTTTTGTTCCATTAGTTTGAATACAAATCATTTAAAGCATTTTTTTTTTAAAAAAAACTGTTAAGTTGGGGGAAAATGTTGGAGATTAAACAAAATAAATACTCCTTGCTTGAACATAAGGCTTAACTCTCATCCTCTTTACAGATTGCAAAATCATGTAACCTCAAATTAGATTGAACAGGCGTATACTTGAGGAAGGCTTCTCTCATGAGTTATACTAAATGGGTAAACCACACACAGATTTAAACATGCTATTAAACATGAAGTAAGAAGCAAGTTAATTTTGTGCATGTTTAATATTAAAATGCAGAAGAGGAAGATAGTCCCTAAATGCCTCAAAATTGGGCAATTTTCTTCATGAATTGGTACAATTATTACAGAACAATGTTACTTTCAGCTTTCTTGCTATCTTAAAAAAATATCCACCAAAGCTATTTTTATATTTGAAACAATACCTTTTCATATGTTAAGTAAATATTTTTTGAATAGGAATAGCAAAAAAGCAAAAAGGGTTAGGGAATTGTAGCTTGGTGTATCTGCTGGGAGGTTGGATAATTTTGATAGAACTGATTTTTCCACCCTTTGGAAACCTCTAAAGAGCTTGGGGAATGTCAAATTTTAGATTATGAGAAAAAAAAAGTTATATCTTATTGGAAAGAAAGACCTAACACATATATTATGAAAAAGCCATGGCTGTTGCTGATGCTTGCATCATTTGAACTAAATGTGAAGAAATACAACAACTTAATAAATTAAGACACAGAAACCACAACTCTGTGTGGCTTGTTTGCATTAAAATATGGTGGGAAATGCAAACAGCAGATCACATTATTTAAGTTGCTTTCTTATTTTGTTTAGAAAAGAAATACCGTATTTACCCGACTATAGAGTGCATTGGAATATACGCTGCACCCACTAAATTTTAAAAGAAAAAAATATTTTTACATATATTAGCCGCACCAGACTATAAGCTGCAGATATATATGCATTGAGTGCGCCAAAAACTATGGGTAGCATCTTCTTCTTTGCATTGACCTCTTGCGTCTGTCACGTTTTTGCACCCCCGATGGCAGTTAGCGAAGAAAAATCTATAGACAAGCCACACTGTTGTACAAGCCTCAAGGTTCAAAGCATGGGGAAAAAGTAGCGGCTTATAGTCCGGTAAATACGGTAATCAGCATCCTATCTACAGCAAATAAAAGCTTTTTCTCACATATTTCCAATGGTTTTCCCAAAGTATTTTCCTAGTTCTATAATAAACTTTTAGAGAGCCCAATAGTCTGTAACACAAAGACCCTAGTGAAAGACTTTTAAAAACTATTGTTGTGATGGATTATAGTGCAGAGATAAATTTCCAGGTGGGAGGGGCTGCATTCTAGAGGAGTAAGGGGCAATTCAATACACATATTATGAGCGAGATAAAGAGGGTGAAGACAGCACCTCCCTAATAGTTCAGAATATATGGTAGATGCAGATAGTAGAGTCCTCAGCTTAACAAGAACTGCCATGCATCATCAGTAAGAAGTGGTGGGACCACAAAATGGACAAAGTCATAGAAAATGAACAAACTAAAGTGCCCTGGGACTTTAGAATTCAAACAGGCAGGCACCTGCCACATAATACCCCAGACTTCACAATTGTCAATAAGAAAAACAAAAAATCTAGATAGCAGATATGGT